TAACTCTGACTTTATTCATGGATTGGCTCACAAGTGTTTGCTCCTACTGTTAAAAATTATCTTCAGGAAATGGATCTTCCTCTTAGATGTCTTCTCTTAATGGATAATGCTCCAGCACATCCATCAAATTTGGAGGATGACTTCATCAAGGTCAAATTCCTTCCACCCAACACAACTCCATTACTGCAATCAATAGATCAGCAAGTGATTTCCAATTTTAAAAAGCTGTATATCAAGGCCCTGTTTACCATGTGTTTTTAGGTTACCAATGATACCGACTTAACTCTTAGAGCTTTTTGGAAGGAGCATTTTAACATCCTGCATTGTATCAACCTTATTGACAAAGCCTGGAGTGAGGTCTCTCACCGCACTTTGCAATCAGCCTGGAGGAAACTTTGACCAACTTGTGTCCCAGAGTGAAACTTTCAGGAATTTGAATAAGAGAGCTCTTCTGATGTAGTGCATGAAATTGTGTCCATTGGCAAGAGTTTGAGAGTAGAGGTAGATGATGCAGATGTGGAGGAGTTGCTGAAAGACCATCAAAATGAAGTAACTACAGAAGAGCTGGTTGCCATGCAGGAAGAACAGACGAGTCTTACAAGAAGAGAATTCATCAGAGGAAGAGGCTAGGGAAGAAATCACCAGTGCTGAGATCAAGGAAATTTGCAGAACATGGAATGTGCAGGAATTTATCGAGAAGCACCATCCTAACAAAGTTGTGGCTGATAGGGTCATTAATTTAATGAATGACACTGTGCTAATGCATTTTAGAAAAATTTTGATTAAGAGAGTAAGACAATCAACTTTAGACTACTTTCTTGTTCCTTATCAAAAGAGACCTCAACTTGAAGAAACTCCCTATGCAGTGCTATCGGATATTTTTATGGAGGGGATTCCTCTTCTAAGCATTAAGTTTCGTAGAAACAAAGGTATGTACAGTGCTACTTTATTAAATAAAGTTTACATATTTGTTGCTGTAATGATAGATACTACGTTTTCTTATATTTTCATCAAAGAAAACCCATTTTACAAATAAAATTACAAAAATACTGACGGCTAGAATGGATTAATTGTATTTGCATTAATTTCTATGGGGAAAAATTGCTTTAGTTAACAAACGGACTCGTGGAACGGATTACATTTGTTAACCAGGGTTCCATTGTATATGCTTTCCACCTCAGATTAGTACTGAAGTGTCTTGCCCCTGTACATCATACTTTTCCTTTAATAATTGTCATGCTGGTCATCTATCTAACACCTTTCACAGGAAAATTTTTTAATTGAAATAGCATGACTTCTGGTTTGCATTGGAAATTCTTATATAGTTAATTGAGGCCTCCTGCCCCTAAGGTTTTCATATCTGGTTTCTATTTTCATCTATCTATCACTTTTCTTGAAATTAAGGAATGACTGATGGCAGTGGGAATTTATAGGTCTACAATTTTTTCAAATTTCAAACTAAATGAGGAGGAGATGGTATTTGCCATTTATGTGTAGAGAAGTATATCAGAGTGGTTAAACAAAACAAAGCTAAAAGAAATCCGTGGTATTTTTCTGTTGAACTTTGTTTGAAAAAGTAGAAAATAGTTTTTGGTGTGAAAAGAGTAAGAAGGGAGCCAAATTTGGTGCAAAGTAGCCAAACCTGGCATTACTGTGTGTACCTCCTAATATGCGAATTAGCCCATTTGCAAAGGACTGCATCTATTTAAAGGAATAGACTCCTTTAATCTTTAACCCCTATTTTCTGAGTACAGTAGAATAGTCCACTAAAAACAGATGTTTGAATTGCTCTACAATTGGAGGTCAAACCCATTTTTACTTACTGGGAGAAAATCTATTTTACTTTAAATGGAAGATTTATTACACTTGAGCTGCCATATCAATATGGCAGTTCATTGCACAATAATATATTGTTAGTTATCATGGACTATTGCATTTTTACAGTAACCTACCAGTCGACCCCCTAAAACACTGTTGATTATTCCGTTTTATATGAATTTCACGTTGTACGAGTCACTTAGATTTTACAAATACATCTGCTGGGCTGTGAACGGCTCATGTATTTGAAAAATCTAAGTGACGGAATAATCAACAGTGTTATAGGGGGGTCGACTGTACTTAGCTATGCTAAGTCTATTCAAGCCATCGTCCATGTAGGTGAGTCACATTAAGAAATTTATGGCTACATCCCTGTTCATTATATCTTGAGTAGGGTCAGATTTAATGACAATTTTACTTGTTAGCATTTACAGTCTTTATAAAACCCATCCCTACTCTCAAAATTCAGCTTTTTGCCATTTTGTAAGAATTAAAAATATAAAAAGATTTTAATAATAAAATATCATAACAGATGGCACCACACATGCAGTTTTAAATGTTGCAAGGAAAGTTAAGCAACTCATTGCTGGATTTTCTTTTTTTTTATATAGGTAACTCCATTTTGGTTTTTTTTGTAAAAATTGAAACTATAGTTCCATAACTGAGACTGAATCATCCCTCACATGCTTCTCACTCTCATAATATTTGTGTATGTGTAATTTTTTTACCAAGTATTTAGATTAGACATTTTCCCCAATTAATGTCTATAGGCTTGGTTGAGATGCTACTCCATTTTATTGTAGTGTTTCTGTGGTTATTGCCATAATATTTTTCTACAGCAAATTTCTCAAGACTAATTTAATTAAAAAACTCCACTATACCTTTAAAATGAAGTCTATTTTGCACACTTATCTTACGTTTTCGGTCAGATTCACAGACCTTCTTCAGGATCGAACTATAAGATTTCAAATTTGCAAAACAGAAATTCCAAAATGTACGTTCTATAATCTTCTCAATCGCGCATGCTCATTATTATTATTTTAATGTCGCCGCCTTCCATGCCGATGCTATTTTGTTTGATTCACGGAAATTTATATTTTGCCCTTTTTCTTTGCACTTGTAAATGTGCCAGGCTTCTGCATACTTTAAAAAAAGTATGCAGAAGCCTGGATGAAGTTTAAAATATGCCATTTAAAGGTATAGTGGAGTTTTTTAAATAGTAATGCAGTTAGAGATATACTAATTTAATTTTCACAAACCTCATTTGCATGTTCAGATATAATATGGCCACTTATACTCTGTGTAGAGTTTGTTTGTAAAGACAATATTTTATTATAAAGAATATAAATATGATAATTTTATCTGGAAATTGGCAACATATCTATCTTTACACTAAATTACTTAAATAATGAAAAATAGCATAATTATAACTCAGTCTGGTATACTTTTCTTTCTATGCTATAAATGTGTTCCTATTTCATTTTTAAGATATTGAAAACTAAGTTGTTATATCTCTTTCAATTTGGCATTCAAGATAAAAAAAAAGATTAGTCATTGTTTATTAATTAAGTAAATGATTTTTACAGTTTTTAAGACTTCAGGGTAAAAAACAGCGAGGAAAAGAAGAGATTCAAATAATAGATATATCTGCAGATCAACAGCTTCCAAATGAAAATCTTTTAATAAAAAATCTTACAGATGAAAGCCTTTATTATTCTTCCAAAAAAAAGGGCAAAATGCCAACAGCACAACAAAGAAGAAAACACCAAATTACTTATCTTGCTTTTCAGGTATTTTGCATAATTTTCTTTATAATTAAAAGATTAAAATTCACTATTTTTCAGAAATTAATATAGAAAAAAAACTACCTCAAAAAATATATTCTTTTGTTACTGGTTAAATCAATTATTTCTAATTTTAATGTTTAAAATGTTCATATAAAAGTGAATGAAAATAAAAAATCTTTTGTTAAGAAGCATGTTTTAATATTGTATTCTTTCTTTTTAAAGGCAAAAGAGAGAGAGCTTGAACTGAAAAATCAGTGGTCCAAAAATAGAATGACTCGTCGTCAGACTCAAGCAAAATATGGATTTTAATCAAGAAAATGAATCATTCTTCAAAACTTTGACGCTTGTTTCTTTAAAAACTACTGTTATAATAAATTTATTACCAATTTGTAACATCTCAAAATGTTAGATAACTACTGCAATATACATACATACATACATATATATAAAATAGAACTAACACAAGAAGACAGCCAGATATTCAAATCAGAAACCCGAATGTCTGGCCGTCTCCTTCTAAGATTAAAAATTAAGAATATTTTTATATTTTTGTTATAAATTATTTTTAATTATATCAATTGAAAGTATTAAATTAATAATAATAAAATATTTTCTGATAGTTAAAATTTAAAATTATATAAATTTTGAATTTGTTCTTTCTTATTGATTGTAAAGAAAGTCACTGAAAATTTCAGAATCAGAAAGAATACTATCTACTATCATTTCACAATCATAATGAATGAAAAAATTTATTATGATGATTTATTATTATTCATTATAACTATGAAATAAAAGTTACTTTAATTTAACCTTCATAATACCATATGAGAAAGTTATTGATTCATAATATGAAAATTTTAGTTCTTTCATATTCACCTTTTATCAATCTATAAGTTTACTAAGCTGAAACTGCATTGTTTCTCTTAGGCCATTAAATTTTTTGCTTAGAACAATTGTCTAATTATTAATGCTTATCTTGTAATTTTTGAATTTCACAAACTATTACACTACTAGAAATTCTCCCGTCAAGCATGATGGAATATTTTTATAAGAAAGTAGAGATTGAAAAATTGAGAAGAGCTTCAAGTTGAGCTTGATGTTATAATGCTGTTTCTGCAGCTCTTGACAAAGCCATTCTTACTTGTTACTCAAGTCAGACTCTTCAGGGTCTCAGTTCTTATTCTTTTAGATCTAGAATTTACCTGACCAATTTTACTCCATTGCTTTCCCCTAGTTTTTGCTATTTTGACAAAATAAGTCTTTTTAATTCCATGTTGATAAAACAAAGATAAATTGTATGTATGTCAATTAGATGAGTGATGACACTTTCTAAATAACAGGTTCTTTAGATCATTACTTCTGGTTTGCTAATAGAACATCACATGGTCATTATGGAAAGATTTTTAAAAAAATTGCTACAGAAGTGACACAATGCAGCTATCTTTTTTTAAAGTTTAAATTCAAAATTTAATGAAGTTTAAAATATGGCATTTGCCAAAATATTTAAAAATGCAACTTAAGGGAATTTCCCTTAAGTTGCATTTTTAAATATGATCACTGATGTCACTACAATATGAGTACACACACACACCTTTTATATTAGTAATAGCCATAAAAGGGAGAAAGTTGAATTTATTTATCAGTATGGCTACTAACTTTAAATAAAAAATCACCCATAAGTTCATATACAAATATAAGAAAACATAAAGACAATGGATTTGTAAGTATCAATTTTAATGAATTATAGATTATTCATTAAAATTGTTGCTTACAAATTCATTGTCTTTATTTATTTATTTATTTTTTTTAATAAAACTTGTCTACACTAAAATAATCGCAAAAACTTCTATACATTTGCAAGCTATCTTATCTCAGTGCATTTATGTTTGTGATCATTAGACATTTGTTCTAAAAAGAAAATTTAAGGATTTTATAAGTGTCCATAATTTGTTACAAATCAAGAAAGGTTTTGATTCATAAAACAAGAACTTTGACAAGGACAAGAAAATATTGAATTTTGAACCAAATCTAGTTTGTAGTAAATTAAAATTTTTATAGACTATTTTTTATTTTCATTGAGAAGCAGAAAAATTAAAGAATTTTGTCTGACTTTCACTCTCAGGTAATAATAATTGGTGATTTTGTATAAGAATTTTTTAAAATTTCATTTTAATTTTTAAATCTATCAGAATAAAATATCTTGATTCAAAGGAATGCTATTCAAATTTTAAAAATAAATTCAATTTTTTTTAAAAAATGGCATAACTTAATACAAATATAAACTTGATGTATTGTTTTAAAGCTATAATTTATCATTAAATAAAATTTGTATGTCTTTTTACCATAAATTCTTTTAATTACATGCAATTCATTACATAATTACATTTAATCTACATTCACTTTTCATCTTCAGTAAAAGTTTTAATTGGTTTATTATTTTTATTTTAAAGAAATTACAAGCAAACATTTATGCTGCTGCTTTCTTATTTGTTATACACTGCTGAATAAATACATTTGTGTTTAATTTTTGTGTATTATTTGTACTTAGTTAAAAAAGATAATATGAACATTTTCAATATCTAGTTCACTTCTGTATTCCAAATTAAATCACTTGATTGATTATATTGGTGATATTTAAATAATTGTAAGAAATTTTTTTAATAATTATTGTTCTTTATTATTATTTATAAATTACTTAATCCTTACATAAGGATGTAAACATGTTAATATATTTGTCATGGGTTTTCAAGATATATTAAATCTTTATTTTAAAAATTTCAAACATTAAATATGCATGTTCTCTTGTGACAAATGACCCTATAAAAGATATCTTGATTATTTTTAGAAAGCAATAAAATCTGATCTTACTTCTTACAGAATTTCAGATAGACAGACATATTCAATGTATTTTATGATGTGAAATAAATGAATTTTTAGATACAAATAAGTGATATATGAAAATAATTATCTGAATCTAAAATTTAATTATAAGCTCATTTTTTAAATTTTTATCAAAATTCCATAAGATTTTATTGTATATAAGTTTGATGTGCATAAACATAATAATCATACAATATTTACTTTTTAATTTAATTGATAATGTATTATTAATTATCAAATGTATTTAATTCATCATGTAACATTTCATAATTTAAGAAGTAATTATACCAATGATCAGAATTCTGCATATAGATGTATTAGGTAATAAAGTACAGTGATTCTGATGATTTGTATGAAAAATAATTCATATTAATGATCAAATTAATAGTTTATCATCATAAATAAGATTATTTCATCAAGGAATTTTGTGATAAAAGATTTGTTTCTAAGGATATATAACTGCATTCAGAATATAGCTTTTAATAGCAAAATGAAATAAGAATTGCACTGAAAAATATCATAAAAATTTATGTTAATAATTCAATTCAGTTATTTACAATTGCAGTTTATTTAGTACTGCATGTTCTAAAACTGCAGTCTATAAATACAAATGTACTGTACTTTTAATATTTATGTATTGATTTCATAATAATATAATATTATTATTACTAATATTTGTCACATTTATAATTTAATGAAAGAACAAAAGAAGAATTGATGCCATTTCTTAATAATTTGATGATGTCTGTCAGTTAAGCTAACTTCATACTTTCTGTATTTTTTTTTTTATTTAATTATAACAACACGAAGAATTTTGATTTTTCTGCACATTTAAATGGCATTATGATAGTTATTAACATATTGATTATATGTTGTTTTGATTGTTAGCTATTAATTATATATAATTAATAAATTATATATTATATATAATTGTTTATAGTTTCATAAAAAACTATTTTTGTAATAGTTTTCAATATATTTATTTCTTAAATTTTCATTTTAATTTTAAATTTGAAGGTTTTTTAACAATAAATTAAATACCTTGTGTTTGAAAAATTTTGAATCTGAAAACTTGTTTAATAAAATTAACAGTTTTGACTGTCTTAAGCTTGTCATACACTATGTTGAATCAGTCAGAATTTTTAAATAACAATCATTTGAATGGAATCCTGCATTCTAATTCAGATCAGATTGGAAATGTCACATTGGACTGACAGATTGGAATCAGTTTCCAGAGGTGGAACATTTTGACTGATTCTGAAATGGTGCACATTCTGTAATGTCTCTCTATTGCATTATTCATCGCATACATGCTTTCTGTTTGCAATTGATCATGTTTTGTCATATTGAAAATGACTAATGTTAAGTTAATTTAAGCCAGGAATACCCAATTATTTACATTTCATTAAAAAAAATGAGGCATTGTCTGGAAATGAAATATGTTGGATGAAATCTGTGAAACTCTAAATGGAAATCATAAATAATAACACTTCTGCCCCTAATGTGCAAACAAAATTCATTTTTGTTTGTAAAAAAGTTTTAATCCCAACTGTTTCAGTCCAATGTAATGTGTGGCAAGCTTTAATCATCTTCAAATTCAGAAAGTAAGATAAATATTTTAAAATATTATAAACTCTTGAATGTAATATCTTACTTATTAAAACTGTTTCCTAACCTAAAGATTATTTAGGACCATTAAAATGTTAGTTTTTAAAATAAATTGCTCGGTTAAAGGTTTCTTTTTCAAGTTGTGATTTAACTTTGGTAGTTATTTCCATTCAAATTGATAAATTAACCATGGAAAGTTTTAATTTATTTACATCATTAATAATAATTAAATTTTACATTCCAAATTATTTTCTTTAAATATTGTCAAAATCAACTTTTTTCTGTGTTACATTCTCACTTTATTAAAATTTACAACTTTAAGGTACATCAATATATGATGTAAGGATTGGAGAACACAAAATATTGAGAAATTAATGAATATTATGATTATAAATTTCAATAGTATTAGATTGAAGACTTACTTTTATATGAATTTTTAATTTATAAATCATAACAGTTTAGAAGTAGTGCCTGTTTAATATGCTTTTGCTTAAAATAATTTCTTGTATAATTTGCTGTTTATGAATTTTTATGATTCCTTTTATTTCCATGTATTATAAAATTTTTCATTTAATAAAATGAAATTTTTCAAGTAGCAATTGATTCATCTTCCTTCAAAAATAAAATTTAATGTAGAAAGAAAATCCATTTATATCACTGAATGATTATTATTACTTACCTTGTTTCTACACATTGGTAGAATCTATATACTTTCCATGTTGTTTGAAGCATGGGAAGCATATGGAATAGTGTCAGCATCCATGAATATAAAGGGAGCAATCCTATCCATTCCTCTTGAAATTT